TAGATAAGTCACCTATGACTAAGAATTGCAAGCCATTGTCTATAATTGGACATGTGTCAAAAATTGGACATTTCTTTTCAAACTTGGACATTCTAGTGTCCAAAACCAAAAGCTTGTGTCGAAAATTAGACAGTGTCTTAAAGTGGGCACCATTGTCCTAAATTGGACAGGAGTGGGAGAAATCCATTACAGTCCAAATTGGACACTAAGTTTAAAGTTTGACACTAGTGTCTATAATTGGACACTTCTGTCTAAAAATTGGACAATTGATTCCAAACTGGACACATGAACAAAATTGGAAGCCAGTGTCTGAAATATAGCTTTACTGTCTAAAATTCCACCATTAGTTTCTAAAATTGGACTCTAGGATGAGAAATCCATCACTAAAATTATATAAATTATAGAATTAGACTACTGTCTAAAATTGTTCCATGGTGTCTAAAATTGGTCATTAGAGTAAAAAGAGAGATTAGTGTCTAACAACTGATATTAATCTCTACAATTGGACACTACAAAAAAATTTCACACTAATGCTTCGCCGCATCTTTTGGAAATGTAAAGAAATTATTTAGTCTTCATTTCNCCACGTATTACCTATGCTTGTTGCTAGTTGGTAGTATCAGTCAGATCAGAAGCCTTTCTCACATGACTTACAATACAATATTTTATTAATTCTCTCTAAGTGGCTTCTCAGAATTAATTTACAACACTTTTCGGGGGACTTTGGCCTGACTACATCAGCAGTTTACAATCAATCAAAGAAAATATTTGAAGAGTCCCTCCCCCCCATTCCCAGTAAACAGGTTATATCAAATCACAGTAACCTTGTGAGTGGGTTCTTTAATGTCCCCTGCCTAACCTAATTAACTAATGAATAGATGCAGGTGACCAGACCTACAGTTTATTGGTTCTTATCTGAGAAACTAGAATGTCTATCCATTTCTTGATATTATAGAAAGGTAGCACACTCTCCTCAGTTATTTTAAGACCTTGAGTGCTGGTGCAGCCAGGGTTCGAACCCTCAACCTCCCCCACAAGACCCCCACATGAGTCCAGCACTCTAACCAATTGAGCTAACTGGGAGTTACTTCGTTAATTGTTAAAATATTGATGTTACAGTTGTATTTAATTTAGTAGTATTATTGTTATTACTGGTGGGCTAAAGAATCTATACTTTTCTTTTTCTGATATTATATATAACACATATTTTAGAAGTGTCAAAAATAAATTGGGGTCATCGTTTGTACTTCTTCAACATGCAGTGTCTTAAGAGTTTCTTGTGTAGCTGATCAGTAGTTAAAATTAAGGGGACTGATATAAAATTTTGTTTAAATTTATATTCTCATTTGATGAATGAAAGGTGTGTTTAATTTTGTTTTCTTGCAGGGATAATCTTAGGTGGCAAGGAAATGGTAATGAAAATTTAAAAAGTAAACTCACTCTGATGGTGGACATCACTAAAACTTTATCTTGAGAAGGAAGTGAGGGTTATATGTTGGACACAACACAATGAAAAACAGCACTGACTTTTCATGAGGAAAGTAAATTTATTGTCTCTCTGATATCTACATTTTGAAAGAAAGCCTTGGATTAAGTTCCTCTTTTCATCAAAATGTTCTTAAAATTTGGCAGATAATTTTAAGTCTAAGGTTACTTCCTTCATATGGAAATAAGAACAATGTGAATATTTTCTTACATTGTTGATGCATTC